GGTTGAGTTTTTCAGCGCTTCTCTACAGCATAAAGTAAAGAAGGTTAATGTCTCGAAATTTGTGGTATTTCTCCACAGTACCCAACATGCCGGTGTTAATGGAGCATTGGGAACGAACAACTCCAGAAGCCACATCTATAATTCCAGAACAATCTTAGCGTACTTCACTTGGAGTTGTGGTACACTTTTATTATCCAGACTTATTTTCCCATCAAGAATACGAAATGCGTTTGTAATCTTTGAAAAATTTTCTCTAGATTAAACTGCCTGTACCGTGTGAGGAAAAGCTCAACATGCTTTGATTTGTTGAATGTTTGATTTATCTTTTCGGACTCTTTTGGTGACGCAAATCATTTGATTATTTTCAGAACGAAAATATCCTGAACCTTCAAGACATGCTATTCGTCAGGTTGGCCTATAAGTCTTGCACCAAATTGATTCCTGTCCAAAAGTCATATTTCTCCTATGATTTAGACAGGTTCTAAGCAATTCGATGGAGCAAAGTGATCTCTAGCACTAGTTTGGTCCACGCAAAGTTTGAGGCCGGAAATTAAAAGGATCCATATGCTCTCGGCTAGAAAGCAAGAAAACGAAGATTATTTATCCCCCTAACTGATGAGCTGCCCATGCGATATAGTGGCATACTACAGTGCTTAAAAAGTATGGCGATTTCACTGTTCCTTACAAAAGTTGTGTTTGAGTGTTTGAGGAAAAAGAAACTGAATTTAAAATTCATCGGGGTCTATCTCTTGTGGAAAGCTGAAAATGGTTGTAGCTTCCATAGCTAGTAGTACACAACGTGCCCCAGAATTATTTGCGCGTGTATCTTGTAATGCAAAATTCGTGCAAGACGTGATTAACGATAGGTAGAAAGTTATTAAGTGTTTTTGTTTTATCATTAAGCTATAGTACGATATAAAATTTCCGAGTGGGGCCCCAGTACCACAAAATATCTTGCTGAGTAAGTTCGCGCGACACGCAGGTGGTTTTTCAGAAAATCGTTCTTCCTCTTTACAGAAATTGCTTGTGTAATGAAAGGAAGCGCCACAATCAACATAACTCGTGCCGGGTCCTGCGAATGAAATCTCCTTAGCTCCTGACGCGTTTTCACATCGCAAACATAATCGAACATCTACCCTGCTTGCTTTCGACAAGAATAGCGAAAAGGGCACTCGTCCTCGGTGTTCATAAAAAACCGTAAGAAGGATTTTTCACAGAGGGATTCACACTTTTTGAGTGCCATGTTTGAAATCGGCGCCAGGTCTGGTTAAAGCAAGGAATTTGAAGTTGATAATCTGCCCGGACGCTCCTACAAACAGGCTGGAACTTTTTTCCTGTTCCCGAGTAGCAGGTAATCCAGAATCAGGATCATAAGTTTGAACTTGTTGAATTGCGCCAGTGATAGAGCAAATTTTTGGCTGCAGCGTACTATAAACTCAAGAGCCTAGACGATTTGGCAAGAAAATTATCGGCATTTAATCAAAGGCATATGTTTGCCACATCCTCGAAAGCTGCACATCTTAGAGGCAAATGAGCGAAAGAAAAGCATAAAACTGACTACAAATCGTTTAACATCAGTTTCATCCAAGGGAAAGAACTGGATATCTATCTAGAAGCTTTATGGACACTATAAACTTGAGTTCGATGAAGCTAGTTTTTATGGTTCAAATAATGGTGTTCCTGTACATCACTATTGTGAGAACAGCTCAGCATGCTTTGGCAAAGTATTGAAGATCACGTTTTCTCGTTTTTCAGTCAAGAATTAGATGCAGCGACAGTATATATTAGGTGGGCCCGAAAGTTCGTGTCGTTTAGACCTATTCTGAAATTGTTCAGAATGATAATAGACAATTTGCTTAAACATTCTCCGATGCAGAATTTCTTCCCCTTTGCAACAGCTATGTTTCTTCCGTTGTGACAGTTTCGAAGAACGCTGAGATAATTGTCGAAAACTAGAACACTTCATTCTTACCACGTCTGAGTTTCGCTAGTTTTCAGAATTTTCATTCTAGGGCTTTAAATGCTCTAATAACTATCTGATAGGGCAAACCTTTTTCAAATTAATACATTTTTTTGCATTTTTTCTGCTTTCTTTTTGAAATTTTGCTGATTTATTTTACCAGAACATTGAATTTTGAAAAAATCGCGTAACGCATAAGCACCAAACACTGCGAAATCCCCAAAATTAAAGTTACTAAACTAACTCGTTTATTACTATCACTAGTAATACGAAATAAATGAGCGATTACGGCGTGGAAATGGATAGATTTGCAATTTCGACTACAACCTTGCGCAACCGTAAAGTTGGGAAGTACAGCGATTTTGTCTGCAAACGTCGCATGTTCGCGAACAAAAGGTAGCTGTTAGAATGAAAAGAAAAAGATGCATCAAATGATACCTAGACTGTTCAACGTCTGTTGTTTTGTGAGGTGAGAATGAACCAAATAAAAAATCTGGTCACTTCAGAAAATAAATTTTAGTAATCCTAGAAAGCATACCAGAGAGATACGAAAAATTGCATTAATTTGAAAAAGGTTTGCATTATCAAGTGGTCATTAGAGCACCTTCAAAGTCTAAAATAAAACTCTGAAAATTAGCAAAAATCACACATGGTAAAAATGAAGGGTTCTGGTTTTTGGCAATGATCTCAGCGCTCGTCGAAAAAGTCACAACGAAACACAACTGCTGCAAAGAGGAAGAAATTGTGCATTGGATAATGTTTAAACGATTTCTCTATCTTCATTGTGTACGATTTTAGAATAGGTCTAAAAACGGCACAAACTTTCGGACCCACCTAATATCTTATGTGAATATATTAGGTTAATGCAAAAATAATGGACGATTTGCAAATTCTCAATTTGACGTGACATAACTTTTTGAGAAATCCACATTTCGGCATACAGTGAAGACCGTCAGAAGTAGCAAACCTCTTGCAATACAGCGCACATTTGTTTGTACTCATATCGCACAAGGGCAGAAAAACATGGATTAAAAAAAAGGTTATCTTCTAAAACCTTGTCTTAACAATTGATAATCTCCCTCAAAGTCAGTTAGTTTGAATGATAAATTTCCTATCTTGTAGCCGCAAGCCTAGTTCAAAATAATATGGAAAGGGTTGGGGAAAGAAATTTGCGGAAAGGAAAAGATAAAGTTCAAAATTGACAATTTTTTCGGTCTTTTTTTCAGTATGCCTCAAACCCAAACATAGAATTTTCTGATAGACTGCGTACTGAACAGCTGGGTGTTTTTGCAAAAACAGTTAGTAGGATGCACTAGCATTACGCTTACAGAATTGAGTAAAGGTTTGGCGAATGACTTCTTCAAAGGAGTTATAAAATGACAGCAACGGCTACCCATGTTGAGAGCTCGATATCCCAGTCCGGAACACTTCAAAAAATACAGCTAAGTATGCATGATGTAGACAATGTCTATGACACAGTGTAGCTAAAATTTTGGAAAATCGCCATTTATACGCGCTCTGATTCTGGCCACAAAAGTGAGTGCATTATAATTCTGAATTTGGATGCGGTGATTTGAAGCTCACTAACTTTATAACAGGTGAGGGTGGAAGCCAGCTTCAACCACCATTAGGTAGAGGAGCATGGAAACAGCTTGTCATAATCAGTGGTATGCTACATCCGTTCCAAAAAGAATTTTGATTTTAGAAAGGTTGGCGTGAAAAAAGGTTTGGCAAATGATCATTATTTTTGTATCAACCTAATGCATACAGTTTAACGGAAACGTTACTCCAGTACTCGAATAGGATATCTTCAACGTTTTTTAACCAAAACTGTGATCTTACTTTTTCGACAATAGGATCTTTTAAGTTTTGTCTTGAAGCTTTGTGTGCGTAAAATTTTTACATATGTTTTAGCACCTTCTCGGGAAGCTTATTTTACTCTTTCAAGAGGTTTCACATGAAACAATTTTCTGTGCTATTGTGCTATTTAGCAAATACCTACAGCCGAAATACCACCAATCAGGGCCCGGCACGTGTTGGTTTGGAGCATTTTTGGAAAGAAGTCCTCTATGAATTCGCGGAAATTTACGAAGTCCCTTTTGACATAAAAGTCAGTATGGAAAGCCTTGTTTCAATCAACATAACAAAACATAACGATAAAAAGCGAAAAAAGCGAGTGTTGAGGTACTTAATATAACAAAAAGCAAAAAAACATACTGAGTCGATTCAATATTTGAGTATGGTACCATTTTAGTGTTCAGAACGTTAAAAACCTCTTAGGCCAGCCAAATTTGTGACCTCAACAATCTATGCATTTCGCCACATGGTTCAAAGGACACCGCATGTGATTGGAGCGCGATATCTATCAATGCTTTAGTTTACACTATTTTTGGCCAAAAAAAAGAGGAGAAGAAGTGGTTTGATTCGCTCTCTTCGCTGTATGATAAATTTTGGAGCGTTCTCTTCGTCCAAATCAAAAGGTTCAAAACTTATGTGAACTCTCCAATATTTATGCTCCGAACCAGCTCAGTTGGTTTGGTGTTGGTCTAGAAACCAACAAATTCGGGAACGGGTATTAGGCCACAAAAGTTTTTAAAATTTTTTACATAATGTTGTTTGGAGTAATATTGTATATACATAGCCCAAATTGGCGTCATGTGATTGTTTGTGCGCTGTAGACAAGTCGTCTGTTTGTTTAGGTCTTATGTTTGAAATTCGCGCGCTTGCCAAAGAACACGTTCAACTCGTAAAACCTAACATGTTTGTCGTTTTTTTTCGGTGCTTCGCCCAGGACCTTATGAAAACGATATCCCCATTGCTTCTAACCTCAAAAACGAATTTGACTTCGAACCATCTGTGCCGGGCCCTGCCACCAGTTACGCTCGTTTTGTTGATTGACCAGCTCGCTATATGCTCGCGCCTAGTTAGACGTAAAGTTCAGCGCTGTGTTAAAGGATCAAAAATGTCTTTGAGAACGAAGCAGTGCGTCGTTATGGAGTCAGTTGAAACGTTTTCAAAAGAAACTACCTAATTGGAACTACTACTCATTCAGATGATGAGTCTTTCTCTAAATATTATTGTTATATATATTATTTATTATTATCATTATTATTATTAAGTTTAATTCAATTAATTTTATTTTTATTTTTTTAAATTTAAATTTTGAATTCAAATTTTTAGTTTTTAATTTTTTTTAATTTTAATTTAATTTTTATTAACTTTTATTTAATATTATTTATCCATTGTTAGACAAGATGCCTATCAATTCTCATTAGGGAGCACTGCCACGTCAAATAAGAAAGGTTTGAAGAAAAACGCTGTAAAGTTTTTGAGTTCTTGCTTCTTCCTTTACATGGATTTTCACAGGTTTCAATATGTCTCTGATAGCCAAGGAATTGCTCAACAAACAGAAACTAAGATCTTGGGAAAAAGCTGACTTTGAAAGAAATTATGACATTTTGAAGTCAAAAATTTCAAATCGGACAGAACTTATGCAACAACCTAATAAATGTTGGAGTGTGTTCAAGAGATGAAGGAGAATTAAGGAATAAAAATGGTTTCGAATAAGAGAAAGTATCCGATATGCTTACGTGCAAAGCGCCGTTGTCTCTTCCGTGAAAATTCTTCGGCAAACGGAACTCATAGTCAGCCCAGCCGCGAAGAAATATCAGAGAGAACGTTGATTTCCTAGCGAAATATGTGCCTAAATGCATACGGAAAGTGGGAAATGGGCAAATATTCATGATCCAGAAACTTGGGTAGCTCTTGCACAGGTACAGTTAGACATATACCTGCCATCACCTCGAAATTGAAAAATCTTTCGTAAAAGATGATATGAGCGTCCTCCTTGATGTACTTTTCCAGCCTTCTGTAGGTGAAAAGCTTTGAAGAACTGCCAGAGCTCAAAACCGCAAAACTTATCCTACATTTTTTCATTGACGATTCCGATATCGCCATCCACGAATAGCACCCACGAAAAATTATTGGTTCTGAGGATGTGAGCGGTTATACAATGGCGTTGGAAAGTTATCTAAGAAGAGTCTGACTTGTTTTAGAAATGTCTTACAAAATGCTCACATCTTTCTGTTCACAAATTTCCCCAAAGTCTTCACTGTATACTACAATAAGTGTATAGTTGTTTTGCAGTGCATAACACTCCATTGAATCCATTGCTGTCTTATACAGATTTCTGGAGGATGCGTTACTCAAGACGGAGATAATCGCAATATGTCCTGCCCTTATTTCAGTTGTTAGTTCAGCCGTTTCATTCTGTAAAAAACCTTTGTAGCTACTGTCTTCTATCTTCCATTTGGAAAAATTTACTTGATCGAATTCTCCGAAAAAGACAAGATAATATAAAACTTCACACAATATATAGTCTTCCAGAGTCCGGCAGAAGTGGACAGACGTGGAAGTTTATATGTGCAACGGTTTTGTTAGCGAGTGAGTGTGAAAAGCAATGTTTTCAAGTCGAGTTTCAATAATGTCAAAAGTTGTCAAAAATCTGAAACGCTCTGTCTGTGCTGCAGTCTGGAAACAGAAGAATATTTATTGGATGCAATCATACTCGAATAAGTTTCATTTCTATATAGGACGACTCAGAACTTATTGCTAATAATTTATCTGAGAAAAGCACTCGAAAAACCTACGAAATCTATCAATTTAACACAATGTTGCTTATGCTACACCTTATTTTATATTTAGATGGACCTGAAGTAGTGCGGCACTTGAGGAACAAATGCAGCTCTCTCAAGCGAAATCAATTCTTGATTACTTTAGTTTTGGCAGTGGTTGAAATATATCAAAATCTTCCAACGTCTATGTTAGGTCACGCACGTTATATTGGGTTGCGATTTGAAAGCAGCAATGGAAAGTTTGGACAGTACCAAAGCCGTAGAACACTTGGGACCTACAATTACACTCTAATTTCACTTAGACTTACAATTACATTCTATTTAATAATTTTGATGCAGATAAGGGGGAGGGGCTACCAACGAACCTAACATAGCTTGACTGCGCCCTTAGAACGGAAAATAAACATTATGGTCTTGGCATGTGTAGGTTTTACCTCCATTTCACCTTAATTTCGCTAATTATGATAAAATTATGATCTGATTTGAAAAATTTTCAACTAAAGGATATCACGCCTTGAAATTCTTAGACTTCTCTACGAAATAGATCCTAAAATGTCCGCACGACCAAGCGACAGTTACATAGCATCTTTTTCAATTTGTATGTCAGATGCACAAGAACTCTGAGGTACTGATTTGCATTAGGCATGTCGAAACAATTTCTTACATTCGTCAACAGATTCATTTCTACTTCCTTAAAGGCAGTGGCTTGGCAAATCTCACCTAGTGAAACTTTCGCTTACCTAGGGTTATTCAATACGCTGATCCCAAAAATGCACTTTTGAGAGCTTGAAAACGGCGAAAACGAGCGTTTTTCAATGCCCTATTTTTTGGAATTGGACGAGTGGAGCAAGACTGATGACGCTGAATCGTTGCAGGACCCAATGGTTATAGCATTGCGGCGGGCAGCCTCCAATAGTGAGAAGGAATTTTCCAACTCGTCCGGATGCGTGTAAGATTAGTCTGCGCGTGTAAGTTTGAGAGCAATTTTCTCGGCAGGGAAAGCATGCGTGCAACCGGGATCGCACTGTTTTCAAACTTGGGCGATAAGGAACCCACCGCGTTGAAATCCTGAGTTGTTGAGCTTTGCCGACCCACTCCTTCAAGTATTGGGAGGGCGCAGCAAACCCTCACCTTTTTAGGCGTAAGTCACTTGCAAGAAAGCCGTAATGCGTTGCCATCTAATCATTATTGATCAAAAACAAAACTTACAAAATACAAGAAAAATCAAGGTCGCCGCGAATTTTAGAACTCCTCAAGGAAGTCTGCGGTTGCCTAGCAAAAAATCCAAAGATTTCAGCCCTCAGGCTGTACCGCTCCTTGTTTCCGTATACACATAAATAATCCTCAATCTTCAACAAAGTCAGTTTTGCAACAAGGGCCCACTGAAGCAGTCGGAACTAATCAACGTACTAACACGCATTGCTCAGGCAGCCTCAACGCAATAGCGTTTTATAAAAGATTGGCAGCGCAGCATTCGAGGATCCGTAAAGAGAAAAGAGACATGTGTCTCGCACAGTGAGCTGGAGCAGCTCTGGGACTTAGACTCATTAACGTGACAGGTTAGTTTAACTATGTTTGCGTTGCACTCTTGTTATACTTTGTGCTGCTATTGATTGATGTCTAGAGCAATGCTAGTGGCTCCTATAATTGACAGCCGAATTGCGTTCATCATACTGTGATTGACAGAGGGCTTTAAAATATTGGGTTGTAAAGAAAGTTCTGCCAATTCTTCTCGGTTAGAAAAATGAATGTGAATGCAAGGGGCTGGCTTGGGATGTGTTCTTAGAGTGCGATGGTCTCAACTATTGAAAGCGTATTCAGGTTGAAGAAACATTAGGTTGAACATAAGTCTTGAGACACTCTCACTTCTTACGACGCTAGGTCATACAGTCCAAATTTTCGATAGGAATGGACAACATTTAAAAGAGCAAAGCAGGGTCTACAAGAGAGTGCGAGTGCGCAAAAGTTCGTACCAAGCCGCTGTAAGTTTTTGCATCCAAAATCTGAGTCGTATTGAAGGAAAAATTACGAGAATTTTATATTTTTATTCGAAAAAAAAATCCTACAATCTCCAGCTTGGCCACAAATATTGTACTACATCAGACACTCTTTTGTGCCGTTTTTGAATTTTTTCCTCATTTAGAAATCGAGAAGGCGAAAATTTTCATATTTATACAATCCACAAGCCCTAGTTTTCGAGAAATATTGATTTCAGCATGAAACACCCTAGTGAGGAGAGCGAAATTCGGTAATTTTCGAAGACTGGGATCTGTGGGGAACTGAAAATCCACGGTTATACTTCTAAGGGATTGCAGTATACAACTACATAAGTGGAAACAGCTTGATTCGTTTTTGTAAAAACTTGAAAATTTTCGTGTTCGACTTCTAAATGAGGAAAAAATTCGGAAACGGTACATAAGAGTCTGTGTAGTGTGCATATTTTGTGAGCGAGTTGGAGATTTGTAGGATTTTTTGGACGAAGATATGAATTTTTCGCGATTTTCTGAGCTCTCAGTACGACTCACATTTTGGATGCAAACCTAAAGTGAGTCGATGTTGGAGTGAACTTTTGCAGACAATCTCAGACAGATAATCTTGTATTGCTTGCCTTTGCTCTGTCAAATGGTACCCTGGACCCCTTTTGAAAATATGAACTTTATGACTATCGCCGTAAGATGTTAGAGTGTCTCAAGACTTATGTTACGACCTAGTAGCTATAAAGGAAAAAGCACCCAAAAGGAAAAAAAATCCGTTGCGCTTAGGTCGGCGAAAAGACACAATTTTCAGATTATAGACGCGCAGAATTGCAGAGGCTTGGCTTCAAAATCCGTTCATACCCTTTGTATTGGAAAGATGAAGCGACATCCGACTATAGCTTGCTCGGTACCTGGACCTTTTCCCAGGCAAGAAATAGCTTATTAAATTCAGGATTCAAAAAAATCGAGCTTTTTCTTTCTTGTTTCGAAACGCAACTAGCGCGTTCTCGAAAAAGAGCATTCGTGATATACCTAATTGGTAGTCTAAGGTTGCTAATAACATGTTTAACACATTGACGACCATGCAGATTTTCAGTTATCTGCCTTTTGGGACCAAGGCCTTTTTACAGACCAGCCCACTTTTTCAACTATAATTACGCAACTGCCATCTATAGTACACCTACAGTAGCTCTGAAATTCTGACAAAAAAGGCAGAAGTCATCCCTAGATTCTGTGCTTAAAGAAAGCTCATGGAGTGAGTTTATTTCAAGATAGTAGTCATTATACCAAAATTCAAGCCTTGACACACATGGTGTGTCAAGCGGTCCCACGTGGTAGTCATTGCTTGACACACCATGTGTGTCAAGCAGTCGTCAATGTGTTAAAATATCGCTAATTGACAGCCACATGATGAAGATTCAATCAAAACAATTTAGCTCAATTTTTATTGGCAGAACTTTCTTCACAACCTGATAGAAGCAAGGGAAGATGTATGTGGGTAATTTCCCATGTCAAGAGGTCCACAATAATAACAATATATATATATATATCAGTGGCGTACCGAGGGGGGGGGGGGCGGGGGGCCCCCCCCCCCTTTTTGTGAGATTTCGGGGTCAGCGGCCCGGAAAAATTTTGGGAAACATCCCAAAAAAATTTTCGGAGTGCGTGGCTGACGCCACGCACCTTCGTTAGAAAAAAATTTTTGTCGCGCCCCCCCCCCCCCCCCCCAGCCGAAATCCTGGGTACGCCACTGATATATATATATATATATATATATATATATATACACATATATATATATACATATATATATATATAAATGCTGGGGCTTCTGATATTGAATGTGTTTATACTCGTGCATTAACATTACGCACGCACAGCTATCATCCACAAATCGTCGTATTTAACACGGATAGCCCTGCGTCAGGTTTCGTGCGCTGACGAGAGTTCCAGCCACTGACGACTGCGAGCTGAAGGCGCAAATGCAACAAAAGTGCCCCACTGTTTCCCCTACTTATAAGGGGAGCTTTTTTGGCAAAGTGGCTTTTCCACATGACACATTTGAAACTTTGTAGAGCATCGAAGGATAATTTTAAAACTGTCTTTCTTTCTGCCGAGCAACCCTTCTAAAAGTCTAAATTGGTTACGCGTTGATGGACATAAAATTACAGAAAGGCTGTACAAAAAGACCTATGCAAATTTCCTAAGTTTTATTCTTTCGTTGTAGTCAATAAACTTGATGCAACTCTGATTATCTACATTCAGCTGTTTGTGTACAGCTTACTACTTTTGGTGCCGCATATAGCATGATAAATTTGGACTTTCAAACACTCGTAACTTTTTTCGAGTGGTTCCGCAGAAAGCGAAAGAAGTTTTGAGTAGCGTCTAAAGATGGGTTTAGTAATAAAAGTGTCATGTGAAAAGGCCACATCGACTAAAAGCTTCCCTTTGGTATGACAGAAAAACTTTTTTTCACCGAGTCAAGCCTTAGAAAATTGTGCGAATTCTTCCAGAATTCTATTAAGCTTTTTCAATAAACAAGAAATTTGCGCTCACTAGTGTTGTGGATGTTGTTGAGACATTCTTGGATGTATGGTCCTCTGCTTTAAGCTTCAAGATGAGGTACACAACTTCGCCATTTTTTGCTTGTTCAAATCGCTAGAAGTGATAGAATTCAAGTGCATAACACCTGAGACACAGATAATTTCGTATCGATTCTCCTCAAGCTTGGAAGTATACTCCATGAAGAAGATTTTTGTTGATTTATTGTTGGGAGTTTAGCTCTAATCTTTGCTACAGACGTACTCTTTCCCAGTAGACTTATCAGCACTCTCGACGGTAAGCTGATTAGTCAGTTCGGGAAGATTTGAAAGGGAGTTCAAGGTTGGTTCCTTCTTCTGCATAATAATGTTGTTTCTATGAGCCATAGGCTGAGTTTCCTTTTATCATTTTCCGCAAGAAAAGCCAGCACATTTCCCTTTAGTAGGAGGTGAATTCAAACTTAAGACAAAATTAAAATAGAAGCAAACTAGAAATACTAGTACTTTTACGATAAAAGAAAAGCGATATTAATGATACTTTTTTGCAAAGTTATGTGACCTACCTGGAATGATTTGTCCAGAAAGAATTTTGTGTTTTCAATGAGCAAAATGATGCAACAGTAGATCACGAACAGACCTAAAAGTAAGGATTTGAGGGTCATTGAAGCAATACAAAACTTTCTCCAGGACGCTATTTGTACATCGCAAAGCAACTCTCGATTTATAAAACTTTAGCAAAAACTTTAGCAACTCTATAGGAGCCCACTGAATTTATTTATTTGAAAAGTGCATGAATAGTCACTGTCTGTTCTATTTAATTTTGTTGCTGTAATTCAATTGCTCTGATGTCTTTAAACCTTGGCATTTCGTTTGTGTCAGTAGATAATCTTATGCCATCCAGTTTCCTTGCTGATATTCTTTATTATACCCGACTTTCCAAACAACACTGTCTTCTTGTAAGATGGTCCAACTTCGGCTGTTTAATAATCTTGGCATTGTAATATATATTGCTGTGTCGTCTCTTTGAGCAGCAACCAAGATGGTGTAACTTTTTATTCAACTGGTCAACGTTTCGGCTTTTTCGCCTTCGTCAGAGCCTGGAAAGTCGAATGTATAAGTGGTACATCCACTCAGACGCTAACATCAAAGCTCAAGATATCATTCAATCCGTGACCAGCACGAAAGCCAAGGTAGATTAACGGACTGCCAGAACTCATCTTATGACACAACAGGAGGCGCATTAACCACCGAATGTAGGATATGTACCTCTACCAGTGGCGGTCCGAGAAATTTTTTTCGGGGGGGGGGGCGACAAAAAATTTTTTCTAAAGAAGGTGCGTGGCGTTAGCCACGCACTCCGAAAAAATTTTTGGGGTGCTTCTCAAAATTTTTGCGGGTCCCCGACCCCTAAAGTCTGAAAAAAGGGAGCGTGGCTTCAGCCACGCCCCAGAAATAAAATTTTTATAAGGCGGCTAAAATGAATTTTTAAAAAATTTTAAAACTTATTTTAATTATTTTCAGGTGCAAACAAGTCGTTTGCACATTTTTACAACCCATATGGGTAAGTTTCAAAAATTTCGCGACCCATTCTCGGGGGGGGGGGCGCCCCCCTCCTCCCCCCCCTCGGTCCGCCACTGACCTCTACCTCTTTTTATAGCAGCCGTGACCTGACCCCATATCAAAACCTACATAGGGATTGATATGGCGCGAGTTCATCAGTTACCGCAAGGCACTCTTCCTTCCGGTTCATTTTTGGACTCTTGGCGTTTATCCAGAAGGAGTTTATCCAGAATTTCATCAGTTACCGCAAGGCACTCTGAACTCCAAAGTTTTACGCGCCAGCAGTTCGGGCTCGTAGGTCAGTATCTTGTCTCCAACTTGTACCTCGGCGCTTTCCTGCTGCATAATGCGATGACTACCTAAGAGTGTTAATGATCTTAACTTATGCAACGCGTCCAGGTGTTCCTTGAAGCGTGAGCTCCTATACATTAGGTCGTCCCGAAAGCTGTCGCACCATTTTCAAAAATTCATAACTTCTGATTTTTCCAACCGATTTGACTGCTTTTATTTTTGTGTGAAAGAGCAAGCCATGGTATTTATAACGACATCTTAGCTGTTTACTAATGACCATTTGTTGCATAAATAGGAGCGATAGAAGAAAATTAGTCAAAATTCGAATTTTCTGTGTAGGGTCATAAAAAATCGGAGACTTGCGACAAAATTCGGAGCAGTCAGTATTATAGGTTTGTTCACCAGCTCTTTCTAACAAAGTGTGCAAAGTGCAAAGTTTGATCTAATAAATCGTCTACACGAAAAGTTATGATTTCCCTGAAAAATGCCAAAATAAATCAAATTCGCCCTTCTGTATTGCTTGCTCGAAGATCATAACTTTTCATAGAGACGCTCGGTTCAAACTTTGCACCGTTAAAAAGAGCTGGTGAAATAACCCACATTACCGACTGCTCCGATTTTTGTTGCAAGTTTCCGATTTTTTATGACCCTACACGAAAAAATCAAATTTTGACTAATTTCCTTGTATCGCTTTTATCTATGCAAATGATGATCATTAGCAAGCAGCTAAGACGTCATTATAAAGAGGATGACTTGCTCTTTCATACAGAAATAAAAGCAGCCAAAGCGGTTGGAAAAATCAGAAGTTATGAATTTTCAAAAATGGTGCGACAGAACCTTCGGGACAATCTATTATGTCTCACCACATGATAGACATGTGATGAGATACACTACTCCCGAAATCATAAAGTCATCCTCCCTACCGTGTGGACAAATTACACAGTTGGGCGGCTCATCGTCATCATACGACCGCACATGTTTGACTCCTAACTGTGTAATTTGTCCACACAGGGAGGGCGACTGTATGATTTCGGGAGTAGTGTATCTCATCACATGTCTATCATATGGTGAGACATATACAGGAAGGACTGCCCCCTCTGCTCACGCCTTAAGAAACACCTGGACGGGTTGCATAAGTTAAGACCATTAACACCCTTAGGTAGTCATCGCATTGTGCAGCAGAAAAGGCCGAGGTACAAGTTGGAGACAAGATACTGACCTACGAGCCCGAACTGCTTGCGCGTAAAACTCTGAAGGCCTTCTGGATGAACGCCAAGAGTCCAAAAATGAACCGGAAGGAAGAGTGCTTTGCGGTAACTAATGAACTCGCGCCATATCAATCCCTATGTAGGTTTTGATATGAGGTCAGGTCACGGCTGCTATAAAGAGGTAGAGTTACATATCCTACATTCGGTGGTCAATGCGCCTCTTGTGGTGTCATCTAAGATGAGTTCTGGCAGTCTGTTAATCTACCTTGGTTTTTGTACTGGTCACGGATTGAATGATATCTTGAGCTTTGATGTTGGCGTTTGAGTGGATGTATCACTTATACATTCGACTTTCTAGGCTCTGACGAAGGCGAAAAAGCCGGAATGTTGGCCGTTTGAATAAAAAGTTACACCATCTTGGTTGTTGCTCAAGGAGACGACACAACATCGTCTTCTTTAGGTATCGTAGATCATAGTTATTTTGATCCATTCTCCATACGGTCAAGAACTGCCTCTTATGTTGCCGGTCCTAGATTTACTCCGGGGTAGTAGGCTGCATAAGAGCAAAGCTCGAAGCAACCTTACGCTCATGATGGCCTTATAGAGACAGAGCCGCAATTAACCAATGCATTTATCCTATCTTATCAGCAAGATGTCTTAGGGCAGTATGCATTAACATCCCCGCCGGGTGAGGGAATCGCAGCTTAAAAAAACTTTATATCCTGAAGGTCCAGATATATGGATTTTACGCTGTCTACCTATCAGTAAGTATTACCACCATTCTTTATTATAAACATATTGAACGGAAGCGAGAAGCTCTATAAGCCACATTTTCCAACTTTTTGCATGATCCCCTGCTGATCCCCGAAGGCTGACCGTCTTTTCTTTAAAGTCATTTTTTTCCTTCGAAGTCAACGAGAACATTCCAAAGTTGTAATGATTATCTGACCCGTGCTAAGCATATTGAGAACAAATGAGTTTTTGATATCGAAATTTCGATAAACCCTAACTTTCGACCTGTGGTTCATCGAAAATTTCATGAGCCCAAAACATCATTTGTTTTTATCAGCAACATGATTAGCACTGCTGGGTTAGATAAACAGCGCAACTTTGGAGTGTTTGATGAATTTTAAAAAAAGAAAAACGACTTTAAAGAAAAGACTGTCGGCCGCTGGGGGTTATCAGGGTATCAAACAAAAAGCTGGAAAATGCGACTTCTACATCTTCTTGCTCCCGTTCAAGATGTTCATAGTGAAGGATGTTGGGAATACTTACTGATAGGTAGGCAGCGTGAGATACAGATATCTGGAGCCTCAGGACATGAAGTTGAAAGTGTTTTGAAGTGCGATTCTCTCTTCGGCGGGTGTGTTAATGCATTCCGCCCCCTAGTTGACATCCCCAAAGATAGCCATATGCACCCTGTAGGGAACAGACAAGATAGAGAATGCGTATTAGAGCAATGCACTGTTTGCCCTCACGGAAGACTAGAGGACACTACAAAAGTGGTATGATGAACATCTACCTATATTGGAGAAAAGAGGTGTAATGTTAGACGTAAAGCTAAAACCTAGTGTGTTTCAGAAAAGATAAGAAATGCTCATGGCACCGTTGGGAAGGCATAGAATTGAAAGGCACTATAAAAACGGCTTCAAAGTAAAGTAAACTGTTCTAATTCATTAGTCTGAGGTCTGTGAATGGCTGGAAGTAGCGTATCTGCATGCAAATGGAATCCAAAAACGAATCCGTCCACCAACAGTGATCTCTCGCCATTCTTGGCTCTGCTAATATGAACGCACATAACAGTTTCGAGTTAACGACGTGCAAACTCGCTGTATGATGGGTTCGTTCGCTCTGATTCGGTCTTATGCCTCCTGCTACTCTCACGCAAGCTCTGAGCTGGCGACGTAAAAGGTGGTTCTCAACGGCATGGTAAACGGAACGGACCAGATACCTACAATCTACGTTTAGAGCTCAGAAGAAGACGTGTTATTCGATACTTTAAGATTAATATGTATCTACCAAAAAGCCTGGCTGGTACAATGTCATTTTTGTTGTTTTATATGCGCAAATTCTCTTCTTGCTGGCGCAACTCATGTGCTAACGTCAGGGTCCCTTCTGCATGAATAAGCGCTTAATTACATTCCTTACATGTTCTCTGTGAGATCACCTCTCTCTTGTATTCTTCTCATCAAACTTCACAGCCGTTAAGTTGATTGACGAATCTCTGATGCTTTATCCAGAATTATAATACTTTGAAAAAACAGAAAAGGACACGGCTGGATAGGTTTTCATGCTCGCGGCAGAGGAACGGCCACTTTACCGCAGAAAGAGACCTTTTTCAACTTTGCAAATACAGAAGCTACCGCTAGCACTGCAGCAACTTATTTGCATACGTGACCACAGCTGAATGTATAACAAAGCCATCAATAAGCTTAAACAAGTAATATTCTACGACTGCTCTCTGTATACTGCTATGAAGTCGGCACATAGTTGATCAACGCTGTAAATCATATCATTCTTAAATCGAGTGCGTTCCGATTTTATGGATGTTGGTAGTCGCATTGCCTATAAAATTATCCGTACAAAATCTGAGTATTTCTCCTTAAAAATGCTTTGTTCATCTAAACAATTTACTGACAGGATTTTTTGTGATAGTTAATGTTAGAGCACAATAATTCTTAGTTTTTCCAACATCCCCCTTGTATAACACACGCACGGGATTTCTTACCTGAAATGAAATAAAGCAATAATCGAGCCATGTAAGGAGGCGTTGATGCCATTATTGCAGCCATCAGCCTGAAATAGAACACTAGAATTGTGTAGTTGTTAGCATATTTTAAAGAAAAAAACAATGCAAAGTGTACACATGAATTTTCAAGATAAGTATAATAATTGAAAGCGAAAGCTCGAAGAATTTGAATTATGCACTTTGCGCTTTGACATTGAAACTCAACGTTCTGAATTTTCGGATTTTTCAACAAAAAACAGTTAACTATGCTCACGTGCTCAACAGAAAAAAACCTGGTTCGAAAAGCAAAGAAGATACATATTTGGGCTAATTCAAAAAATTACTCTTCTTCTCATGTAGAACCGGTAGCAAGACATACTTCTTCCGTTTTGCATAATTAGTTCTATAATTTCTGCAAGAAATCTTTCAAAAAATCAAGTCATTGCATAAATTTTTATTTGTGTGTAAATTAATATTTCACGTGAGTAGCGCTCATGATGGAAACGGACAACTGTTGGGTGTCTCAGAATTTTTTACCGTTTCAACCCTAAACATCAACACTGAGAACTAAACACTTATAGAGGGCACAAATACATGATCGTACTTCTGTATGTATAAGCCATATGATCACATGCGTAGGAGGAGCTCAGGACCTCTAAGGGTGGAGTTTGCCATTTTACCTCTTTTATTTTTTCTTTATTTCTAGCCATGCAAAAAAATTCGAAAAGTGTACGATTGAATATGCGATGGTCAAGCATATGCTAGGACAAATGGGGAATTTTCGGATACTTTGGGGCGAAGAGACGATTTTTGACAGAAAAGTTCGTTTTCGACTTCTATTACATTTCAGCTCAAAACTTCACGTGGGATATGTTTGGGGCAGACTTTTGGTAGCCACTTGTAGAGCTTGCTTTGCCCTCTCGAATGATTACCCAAGCCACATCAGATGAAGGAAAAGTACAAGAAGACGGCGGTTGAAATAAAAATGGTAAAAATTATGAGACACTCTAACACTTCAATGACCATTAGCAGCAATAGTTGAAACGGGGCTTTTGGATAAGAGTGTATCGAACGAGTTAGTGATAGCGTCATTCAGTGAAGGGATGTCAGAGACTAGTAGACAATTTGCAACATGCAATAAACCTCGAACAGGCAATAATGGAGCCTCTGCGACCAAGATTTCTATAAAATCCGAAAACATGTTTCGCTAATCTTTCTTGCATAAGCGTTGAAGATCTCCTCGTCCAAATAAAAATTGGATGGTTTTGCCACCTACTCACAATGGTTGGCAGCTTCAACGTGGCCTGGGGGTGACAGTGGGTGTCGAACTGCGATGCGCAGCCGAATGTATACTCTGGTAGGGCCTTTCAAGCTGTGAAGGAGTTCGACGTTTCCGATTTCGCCTGGATGACTAGCTAAAAGCCGGCCAAGCCAGATCCCTCCCCGTCTGTTTCTCCGGCTTATGCGGTTCTTTCCGCTACATACTCGAGTCAGCGATCTCCTGTGCAAATTAAGATATATCGGATCCCGCCTACGGCACTGGTGATAGCAAAAACGATGTCAGGGTCCTCAAGGCGCCTTTTGGATCAAACAAAAGCGACACACCTGCCCGGTAAACACGCCATGAAAGACTGCCTCATGCTCTGAACCTACAACGCTAGGGCGGTCTTCACAAACGCTGACTTCCACGCTCTTTTCGACGCTGCAAACGTCAAGTATCACGTCATCGCTCTACGGGAGACGAAGTCCAGGAAGAAGGACGTGCGACAGATGAGTGATAGGACATTCATCATTCGTGGTGAAAAGGTTCCATCACGAAACGTTGGAGGTGTTGGCTTTCTCGTCTACTGATCAATCGTTCTTGTCGATTCGCATGAGGTGCTGTCATCTCGACTAGCCATCCTACGACTACGACTTTCAAGTCAGACCATCAGCATCATCAACTGCTACTCACCAACATTAGCAGCTGACGATTCAAAACTAGATGCTTTTTACAAAGACCTGGAGCAGGTCCTCCACAACGAGAAGTCCTTCTACAAGTTTGTTGTGGGCGACTTCAACGCGAAAATCGGGATGCCACTAAAAGAGGAATATAGGATCGGGATGTTTGGATATAGGCTCCGAAAAACGGCAACCGTCTCATTGGTCTCCTCACCGCCGCACGAGTTTTTCATTTAAAATTCCCTTTTCATGAAGAAAGAACATCACCAGTGGACTTGAGAATCGCCCAACGAAATTACTCATGCGGAGATCGACCACAATCTCACCAACCGAAGGTGGAGCTTGCTCGATGTCTCAGTAGTTCCATCCTTCCGCAGCTGCGATCACCACCTCCTTCGATCGAAGATACGATTCAGTCAAAAGCTGGAAAAGAAAGTCTGTCTCAGTGCCGCAAGAAGGAAGGAAGTCAACTATGCGATAACAGGCTAGAGGAGCTCATATCAAGTTATGATTGGCCCATCGAGGAGGACCCGACGTACGATTACGAGCAGGAGAATCTCACAAAGTATAGGCAAGCCAAGATACTGCAAGCAATAAAGGAAGACGAAGTCGCTGATTGCAAACAAAGACGGAACCCCGATTCATTCCCGACATAAGACGGGATCTACCAGCTGCTTCCCACATCCAGACGGTTTCGAGGGTCAAAGAAGTCTACCGGGAGTACCAGCTGCCTCTCGTCCAAATTCCTCGACTACGAGAAAGCCTTTGACAGCGTCGAAGCAAACGCCATCCTGTCTGCGCTAGTCATCAAGGAGTGGACCCAGCTTACATGGGGACGTTGGCCGGCTGCTATAAGGACTGTACAACGACAATGCAGCTGTTCTATCGCCCTCTGACCATCCCAATTAGGAAGGGGGTTCGACAAAGCGACACAATCTTGCCAAAGCTGTTCACGGCGGTCTTGCAGTGGGTGATGTAATCAATGGATTGGGACAAGAGAAGCATACGAGTCAATGGGAGATTCCTGTCTCTCGTTTTGCGGACGACATCGCTCTTTTTTTAAGCAGTATCACTGAAGCAGAGACGATGCTGAAGGAACTAAACGAAGTAGGGAAGAAGATAGATTGCGAACAAATCGGAAGAAGACTCGCACAGTTCATGAAGAACGCCCTTTGCGAAGATGCAGAAATGAAATTGGAAGGCGCCCTTATCATGGAGACGTATCTTACGTGAACTTCGAACATTCCATGAACATGGAAAAAGACTTGAGGGAAGAACTTAACAGGAGAAGAAGAGGCCTGGGCTGCCTTCGAGTCTCTGGAAAGCCACCAGCAACTGACGGACCAGGAGCTTCGTGTCCACTTGTTCGACTCAACCGTTCTCCCCCCGACATGATAGGTACGTCGAAAGCTCTACGGACCACCCACAAAGCGCTTGAGCGCAGTCCACTGTAGATGAGCCGACACAAACAACATCTTAACGGACTTCGCAGTACGGATTTGAAAAGAAGGCTCCCGTCTTTGTGACCCAGCGGAATACAGTGCGAAAGCGAAGCGCGGATGAGCCAGTCACATCATGAGAAGAACAGACGACAGATGGGCACACATGACAAGAGTGGGTTCCTCCTGAAGCAAAACGTCTCCGAGGAAGACACCATCAACAAGATGGGCAGACGTGTTTGTTGAATGTATGGACTAGCTGAGAATTCATTTTCATTGCAAACTGTGAAAAATCGACAAATCCATAGAAGGGAACAGTGAATCGCCACGAATAGTAGCTCTAAACCACCGCCAAGGTTGAAAACATACGTGTGCGAAGTTTCAGCTCAATCGGTTTAACGGCTGGCGTTTCTATAACGGACTAACAACCTAACGAACATTCTCACAGACTTTGAGTTTTATACGTATTATTAGAATTTATAGATGTCCAAAAGAAATCTTCTAGTATAATTTTCTATCAAAAGTCTTGTAAGGGAATACGCAAAGAACCCGATCTCACACTTATGCCTGTTTTCTTTTGAACAATGTAAGATTTGTGAAAGTATATATGTCGAAGTTGAGAGGCTTATCACAATTAAGGAGATGTGTTCCATATATTTACAATCTTATAGAAGGTCGCAAGCATTCAGTTGTCCGAACTACGAAGATAAGTGCGCTTGACACATGCCCTTAGAAGGTTATGAACAAGTTGAATGCTTCATGTTTATTTTCGTTTTGTAAGAAAATCGAGATTTGCTAACTCTCAAGAAGAAAAGAACAATGGCTTATAGCAGAAAGTATCCACATCCTCTTACTTCAAAAAGTCTAAAGGAAATTCAATCTATGTGCCTCAAAAGCGCGAACGTGAGACAAATGACTGAAGCAAGAAACATACTCCCAGTAAGCACGATGAGAAAGCTCTTTCTAATGTTTATTCCTTACATACAAATTGCAAATCGATTGAAAGGATTACAACTGTTATGGACGGATTCAAACTGAACATGTACGCACTGACACAACCTAAAGAGAATCTCTTTTGCACTTGCGTGCAGACCTGTGAATATTTGAAGCCCTTTGCTGAGCTTTTTGCAGTTTTGCACTCAGACAACGGATAGGACCCCTCCGCCGGAGAAATGGCAGGGTCACGGCGTTTCCCCAGCGGTGGGTCTCCCATTTGTCCGGCGGAGCCCTTCCATTTCTGCTCCGGATACCTCCCATTTTCTGCTCCGGATACCTTCCATTTTCTGCTCCGGAGGCCTCCCATTTTCTGCTCCGGAGACCTCCCATTTTCTGCTCCGGATACCTCCCATTTCTGCTCCGGATACCTCCCATTTTCTGCTCCGGAGACCTCCCATTTTCTGCTCCGGAGATCCCATTTTCTGCTCCGGAGACCTCCCATTTTCTGCTCCGGAGACCTCCCATTTTCTGCTCCGGAGCCCTCCCATTTTCTGCTCCGGATACCTCCCTTTTTCTGCTCCGGATACCTCCCATTTTCTGCTCCGGATACCTCCCATTTTCTGCTCCGGATACCTCCCATTTTCTGCTCCGCATACCTCCCATTATCTGCTCCGGACCCCTCCGATTTTCTCCGGCGCGGCTCTTCCAAATCTGGCGGACTCGCGCCGGGCAAATTTCTCCGGCGCGA